TAGCAACCGGTTCCAGTGACATGACAGTAAGATTATGGGACTGCGTAACCGGCAGCCAAGTCAGATTAATGACAGGACACAAAGCTCCGATTTACTCCCTTGCTTTTTCCGCAGAAGGTCGATTTCTGGCGTCGGCCGGTGCAGATCATCGTGTTTTAGTTTGGGATTTAGCACATGGTCATCTTGTCGCAGCCTTATCGAGTCATTCTGGTACTATTCATTGTTTATCATTTAGCAGAGATGGAAATATACTAGTTTCAGGTTAGTTATTTTGGATTATTTTTAATTTATATTATGGAAGAAAAAAAATTATATATTTTATCTGTTATTCTAGTTATCTAATCTATTATTTTTTCAGGTTCGTTAGATTGTACGATTAAATTATGGGATTTCACGAAACTTGCAGAAGAAATGAGTTTAGAAGATGTGAATGTATCGCACAATCCAGATGTAAAAACGAACGCAGAAACATATCTTCTTCGAACGTTCGCGACAAAAAGCACTCCCGTATTGGCGTTGCATTTCTCACGAAGAAATTTACTTTTAGGCGTTGGAATGTTCGAATCAACATAGCAAACATAATAATGTTTAAACGAATTCTAATGAGATATGGTCTGGCATCCATTCATCATTGTTGTAAAATAAGAACGTTTGTTAATAAATTTTTTCACATTGATTATGCGATGTACCTGAATCATACCTAATGATTATATGATCGATTAATGTTCTAAAAACTATATTTATATGTATATATACACATTTAATCACAATATTTAGATATTGTACAGCTTTTTTTTCAAAATACAAAACATTAAAATATTCTGATATTTTCTCTTTTCTTGTTTTTTTTTTTTCGCTTTTTTGAACAAATCAATCTTATATAAATAATAATCAATCAATTCGAAGATTTATGTTCATGAATAGAATAGGAAATTCGGTTGATGAATTTTAATTACGACTAGAATATGGATGAACGTCTCTCCAGTGACCAATGGATTTCATATTCTATTTGCATATTTAAACGGAAATATCCAATTGTTCTTTATGCAAAATTCTATCACTGATTCCTATTGTATTTTCATGAGATTTTAATTCAAATTGTTCACTGAAGAAAAACGAGAATTTAAAAGATATTTCTATAATTTTTATACTTTCAATAAATTCAAAGAAATTATTGCCAAGATAATCTTTAGTAACCGACATTGAACATTTCATTTGAAGGATGATATATTTATAGTTGACCAACATCGCTTTTCAAAAGCACATCTTTTTAAAAATCTATTTGAATATTAAAATAGAGCAAATACAAGTGAAGAAAACTAAACGTGCTCGTTAGTTTGAAGGTCGACGGAAAAAGGATCTGAATAATGAAATCGCAGCTTTTTCAAAAAAAATGTTTCTTTCATTTCACTTATTTTGCTGGAATCGTTTCTATTCAACTATGATCGTACTTTTTTAGATGTATTTGATGACTTTTATTTACGATATCATTTTATTAATATTATATTAATATTATTAATATTATATTTTCTTTACGTAGTACATAAAATTACAGGATTGATAGGAGAAGAGGTACGGGTATTGTTTTAACTCATGATAAAAATCCAGATCAAATTCACGCGAGAAATTTATTTCCGATTGTTGATACGCTTACTTCTATCACAGCATACAGACGTAAGTTACGCGCTTTTACCATACGTGTGTGTATGTAGTATGTATTTAAGTAATGTCATTCCTTTCGTACATGTGTCGGTGTGTGCATACGTGAAATGATGTTTTAAGTAGTTAACACTTTCGTAATAAGGTTACAATGTATGCGTTGTCAATCTCATGTTGTTCACTTCTCTCGCCTTCACATTCGTTTAAACGATAATCAACTATACATCAAACTCTACGTCCCAGTCAAGCCTCGCGCATTGATATCAAACCTAGGTTACATGTGTCATTTAACTATATGTTATATCATCTTTGTAACGTACTTATGAAATTTGGATAGGTTAGGTTCGCGATTAACGCAGGAGCATAGAATTAGAACATCGACAACCGGATTATTTGTAGTAGTGTCTGTCGAGATATTTATTTAATCTCGAACTAGATCCTAAAGTGGCAGTTATAGAAGGCGTCGCTATGCTCTCGCGTTAATGGTCGTGATGGTTGCGTGTTTTTTTTTTTTTTTTTTTTT